AGACACAAGCTAGGCACTGAGGACACATCAGTGAATGTGGCAGGTTTCTGTCTTCACAGAGCTTAGAAACCTAGTGGGAAGACCATCTCTCTTCAGCCTACAACAGGGCTCCAGGGAACCTCAGAGCTCCCTGTGGCCCTGGTAAGGCCACCATCCCTCTCAGCACACTGACCACCTTACCTGCTCCTAAAACCAGTTCTACCCAGGTGGATTCCATGAGGCACTGATTACCCGCCACCTCCCCCACTTCCACCTTCTCCCCTCATGCCTTAGTCACTCCTTATTCCCCTCCCATGTCATCCATCGTCATCCAGAGTCTTACTTCCATATGGCTCTAATCCAACTCCTTCTCCCCCTGCCTGACCACCCCCCCCTCCCATGCCCTCTGGAGCTTACGCTTTGTCAGCAAAACCTGTGTCCTCAGGCTTTTCTCTCAATGTCCCTTCACCTTCTTTCACTCACTGAGACTCAGGATTCCGCTTCTACCACTGCCCTCTATCTTCCTCGCCACATACACCACTGGGCAGTTACATACCATAACTACTACCACACCACCTGTGTCCCCTGGCCCTACAGTGTCCCAGCTGTGCTGCAGCACAGGCGTCTGGATGTGTCCCCTGTGCTTCCTACTGCAGTCTGGTACTCAACCCAGGTCAACCCCAACCTCCGCCTCTGCGTTCATGGACGACGACCTTAGCACCCAGACCAGTGTCTCTGTCTGTGTCTCTCCCTCCCATCACCAGTCTCAGTGACTTCATCATACATGCAGACAACCCACAGAAAGCCCTGTCCTTTCAGTTCCTCAACCGCCTCACTTGGACCGTCTTTTCCTCCACCTCGGCTCAGCTACACGATTCCATTTTCACTCCTAGATTTGCCATCATCTCTTCAACATCCAGAGTATTCACCTCAAGTGTCTCACTGAGCACTGTCTCCTGTGTTCCTGGGGAACTCCCCCCACTCCAACAATCACATGCCCCCATTACGACCATGAATTCTTCTTACTGCCCCCCCCCATGTTCTTACCTTCTGTCACCCCACTTTGGTTGAACCGCTCATCGCAGAAATCAGTCCTTGGGTACCACCTTCACGTCCCTTATCCTGTCCTTCCACCCTCCTCACCTCACAGAAACCCAGCCTTACTTACATCTAGCATGCTGCCCACTCCTGGCTCGCCCTTGCATGGATGGGGGAAACAGTTCATGGTCTTACTGGTCTTGCTGCCAACTTATGACCACAGATCTCAGATGGACTTTGGTGCTCTTCCAGTATTTTCTCAGGCAGTCTGTTATCTTGCTCTCCCACTGGCTGTTCTCACCTTTTCCTCCCTCCTTACTTCCAGCACCACCTCACACTTTCGCAGGCGTAACTGAGGACCTCCTTTCTTAGTTCACTGAGAAAACAGAAGCAATTCTAAGTTCTCTTTTCTCCCCACCACCAGTTTCCCAGTGTATTTGGACCTGCAGCCATGCTCTCTTCTCTTCTGCTGCCATGGGCGAACTTCCTATCAGAAGTCAGCCTCCCTGCCGGCACTCTGATCCTGTCCCCTCCTGCTGGAGAATGACTTGGCTTCTTGATTTTCCCTGCTCTTCTGCATCAGTCCTCTCCACTCTCTGGGTCAGTCTCACCAGCATACAAACAAAGTGGGATAACTTCCATCTTACAAAAATTAAAAACAGAAACCCTTGCTTTCCCCAGTTTTCCTTCTAGCCTCAGCTCTATTTCTCTGTCCCCACTTCATAGCCAAAGTTTTCAATAGAGTTGCTTGTACTTAGCCTTCAATTTTTCACCTGGCATTCCTCCTCAAAACCACTTCTGTGTATTTTGTTATTCCTAAACTTTTTAGTCACATCCTTTCTATATTCAGTGTTCAAACCTCAGTCCCTGTCTTACTTGGCCTATTAGATTTGGATCAAATTGACCATTGCCTTCCTTCTTAAAGCAATTTCTTCCTTTTGCTCCTGATTTTTCTCCTGCCTTACAAGCTGCTCATCTTCTTATGCTTTGCTGGATCCCTTTTGTTTTGTCTCCCAAGTGCTCTGGGGCAAAGTCTTTACCTGTTTCTCTTTTCACATTCACTCTTTGGGGAACTCACAGGATCTCATCAAATCCCATGGCTTTAAATACTGCCTTTACATTGCTCACAAGCAGATTCAGCCTCTTCTTTGAGCTCAAGACTTGTATATTCAGTTAGTTGTTTGACATTGTGTGGATATAAAATACTTATCACAAACTTGTCATAACTAAAACAGAACTCCTGATTTCCACTCTTCACCATAAAGTGCATGTCTCCCAGTGTTCTCCATCTCAGCAGCAAGCACTCACCCATTTGTTAAGACCAAAAACCTTGGGTTCATTCTTGATTCTTCCCTCTCTCACTTTATCAGTGAGCTCTATGGCTCTATGAACTCTTCCTTCAATATTAGCAGAAGTCAACCACTTCTCACTAACTCCATCACCACCACCTTAGAACAAGCCAGCACCATCTCTTGCCTGGACAATTGCAATAGCTCAGTAAGTAGTCTCTGTGGTTCATCTGTTGGCTTCCTGCAATCTCTCCTACTCAGCTGAGTAAAGAAGGAAGGGAAGAAAGGACACACACTCCCTTTCTTAAGGAAAATTCCTGGAAAGTGCCATACAACACAGTTGCTCCCATGACCTTGCCTAGCTGCAAGGGAGGCTGGAAAATGTAGCCTTTATTCTACATAGCCATGTGCCTAGTTAAAGTCATGGGTCTTATCACTATGGATAAAGGGGAAGCAGATAGTGGGGAATGAATAGCAATTCTGTCATAGAAAACCTCTGTGAAATTACCTTTTAAGTGATATGTAAAGAGAGAATACAAGTTGGCTGGCTAGAGGATTGGGGAATAAGTAATCAAGGCAGAAGGGACAGCACATAAAAAGTCTCCTGAGATAAGATAAAGAATGCATGGGTCATCTGAGACACTGAGGAAATGCAGCATGGCTACTATTGGAGGCAATGAGACCACACCCACCACAAGCAGACATACCACTGACAGCCAACCCTACAGCTAACATTACATTTTTCCAAACAATGTAGCTTATGTTCTTTAATGTTGTTGAGTTAAGTATATTACAGAATAATATAATAAATGAAGTTCTCAAAAGAAAATTGACCAGGTAATTCTGAATAGTGTGTTGACAGTATGGAAATTATACCTAGGANTGAAACGAATGGACTTCATGGCAGTGAAATGTTGACACAAATGTCTGGTTTATTTTTCTTAAACTGTTTCACAAAAAATATATTAATTGCTTTTGTATTCTCTTTGTTTGTTTTTCCCTCCCCCCACTCTCCCATTGCCCCTCATTTCTACCCAACCCTAATCTTAAGTGAAAAAAAGAAGAAAGTGAAACCACCCAGGACTTTGATCACTGAAGATGGAAAAGCCTTGAATATAAATGAGCCCAAGTATGTGAATAAGTGAAACTCGAAGATGCAAAATTAGTTGTGTTGCTCAACTGTTTCAATTCCAGGTTTGCGCTGCAAAGAATATATCTGATTGCTCTTAACAAGTTGATGAGTCTAATAATAATGTCATTTTGTGCATATTTAAAAGCAAGACATCTATTATATTTTTAAGTGCATAATTTTCTTGGCATCCAGAAAATGATTTTGACATATGGAAATCATTGATATTTATGTATCCCATGAAACTTTGAAACATATACAGTTTTATAACTAAAAATTGCCACTGCATTAATGTTGTTTATGAATCTGTAAAACTCTGCCATGAACAAGTTGGCTGAGAATACTGAACATCTCCTATACATCTACTTTAGACTCCAGAACACATCACAAAGCATTCAAGAGCTAGGGAAAAAATTGATATAAATATCTCAATGAAGTTAATGAGAGGAAAAATGTTCAAACTGGAAATCCTCAAGTATAATAACATCTGATCGGTCCTCTCTGTCTGTCTTAAAGTTTAAAACTAGAAAGCAAACCAAAAAAGGCCTTTCGTAGACAAAATGCCGACCCCAAGCCTGTGGTCTAGATCTCAGTCACTTCATTATTCAAAACCTACTTACTTTCATCATTTCACTTGCGTCATCACCATGACGAAAGCACTGTCTCCAGTCATTTCCAGGTGTCACCCGTCTTCACAGCAATCACAGGTAGCAGGCAGTGTTTCTTTTTTACAGCTCCAAACCCCGAGTATGAGAGAGAGGAAGTGACCTGCCCAAGGTCACATAGCTAATAGGTGGTGTGTCTGACTTGCCCATGCTAACCCAGTTCTAGTGATTGCCATGATCAAGTTTACAATCTTACCCCCTCCACCATGCACCTTCTTTATCCAGCAGATAGCACGAGACACAAGCTAGGCACTGAGGACACATCAGTGAATGTGGCAGGTTTCTGTCTTCACAGAG